AGTAAGGTTAAGTTTAATTCATTTTCATATGATCCATTTGTAGTTAAGATATTGTTCACTAATACATTATATATTATATATTGTATATTGATCTTATATTTTATAAAAATTTGATATCAATTAAAAATAAGACTAAATTATAGTATATAAATGAATGTAAACTTTATGTTATAAATAAGTTATATAATATATTATATACAATATGATACTACTCAGTTACAAGTCAATCAGTTTCTATCCGATCACAAGTTGACCTATTTCTACTTAGTTATAAATTGGTCTGTCATATACTCCAACGACGAGCTATTATTTAATTTAGTATATTTTGAATCAGATAACTGACTCATAACATAGATAATAGATAATGGTCTACATAGGTCTATACATGTAAGGGTCTATAAGACTATAATTATCCTATAAATAGTACATCCATTGATGTAATTAATTTAGGTTAAGTTTTATAGTCTTATTTGTTATCTTACGCACTCTACTAACTTGAATGTCGAAGTGCCTTTTACAGGCACACCACCATCTATCCATAGAGGATGAGTACCAAGAAAAGGAAAAGAAAAACCAGTTAATGAAGAGAAAATTAAAGAAGTGCGTAAAACTCATCTTCATAATGTATACTCGATTTTATAAATACATATAAAATTGATTTAGTCTTAAAATCCACTTCTTGATATCAAACTCATTTTAAATCTCTACTAATAAGATTTATTAAATTTATTATATGACTTCATCTTATCTTATACATTACTTATTATAATAAAGTAAAAAGAAAATACTCAAATATTATATAGTTAATTGTTGCAATAGAAAAGTGACTTGGCTAACCTTAATGAAAATACACTAGTATAAAAATCGCGTACAGCGTCGAATATTTTGGGCTTTTAAGGACGAATTTGCGAACGACGTCATATCAGGAGACGTTAAATTTACGTCGACTTTAAAAATTTCGACGTTAAATTAATATCGAATTTTGTCAATATTCGACGTTAATAAATTTTTTTTTTAATTAATTCTGATCTTTTTTACAACTCTATGAGACCTGAAAAGCAAAAAAACAACAAATTTCAGTGTTTGGTATTTTATAAAGCATGAACTATGAACGTGTAGTGTAGTATCAACAACAAACAATAATAACCAACAACAAACAAGTTCAATCAAACAACAAACAAGTTCAACCAAACAACAACAACAAACAAGTTCAACAAAAAAAGCAACAAACAAGTTCAACACATAAGTTCTTCAAAACGAAAACGAAAACTAACTTTCAAAAAGTGAGTTCATCATAATAAAGTTTCGTCACCAGTGAGAGAGAAAGCAGAATGCGCCTATGAAGGAGAAAGACACGAAAATAATCAGTTAAAACAAATAAAAATCATACCTAAAGTAATTAATTAATATGCATTTGTATCAAATGAAAGAAAGATTATATCTGATGCTCGTCAAACTTTCGTTCCAGAAAAGTTTGAGAGAAAAGAAGAAGGTATCGCGCGCTAAGATAAAGTGAATGAATTTTCAATCTCCCGCTCCAATTTTTATTGAATTCACTAACCACCTCGAATTTAGAGAACATTCGACGTTTTATATCTTTTTACGTCGAATTACAATTCTAAACGACTTTTAATAATTGCATTTATTTACAAAAATGATACCGCTCATTTTTAATTTTGCCTATTCAGTAATTGGACATTGAACGTGTGACGTTATACACTGTTTTACTAGTAATTGTATTGAAATCCATATCAACAAACATGATTTTCAATGAGAATGTTTATGAGAAAAATGTGCAGAAAATAAAAATACAAATGGTTTATTCGTAAGTAAATTCTTTTCCCTTCCGTTGCATAAAATTTATCATAGAGATGCAGCTAAATATGTTACTAGATTTCCGTTCACATAAATTCAAGCTTAAATTCTTGAAATTATGAAGAAGTATGCATTCTTATTTTTAATTTTATATAGTGTGACTAATTGTATATGTGTAAAAAAGAAAATACAAGACAGTTGAATTGCGTTCTTAGATATTTTTCTAAAACTCGTGTAAAAATGTTATTATCTTTTGTCTCCTTTTAGAAATGATGAAAATATTAAATTCAAAATATGATAGTGAACAAAATAATGAATTAGAATGATGGGATCATAAAAAAAATGCTTTCAATTTTTTACAAATTAAAAATATATTTCAAAGTTAGTTCCAAATAATGAATAAGCAAAATAGTGGCAGAGAAATAAAATAAATTTTATGTTTTTTCTTTTAACATTATTATATTGAATTTTAATAAAAATTTAAATTGATTTTATTTGTAATCGAGATGAATATCATGCTTCGAATATATATATTTTTAACTTGATTTTATTTGTAAATAATGTAATACTTCCAATAAATCATATGAATACTTTTTATAATTTTTTAAAATTTTAAAGTATAAATAATTTTTAATATTTTTTATAAATTTTAAATCTAATTTAATATTACAAAATCAATAAAACTATATATATATATATATATATATATATATATATATATATATATTAAATTAATCTTATTTTAATTCGTGCAACTTTCATAAATCACATAAATATTTTTTATAATTTTTTTCTAGATTTTAGAACGCAAGTATTCTTTAACAATCTTTTACAAGTTTTGTATGAAGAATATTCTTTAACACCTAATCATTTTTATCTTTACCCACGATGAGGTGTTTAAAAGAAAGAATTTTAAACTTAGTTTCTATTGTTCAAAACATATGCAAAATATAATTATTTCTAAATATAAAGTGTAGAGTGTTTTGATCTACTTCTTGTTAGATATTTGAGACACTAAAAAATTAATGTGTGTTTTTCTACTTTCGTAAGATGTTGGTATATTCTAACATTTATCATGTGCACTGATTATTATTTATTTATTTATTTATTATTAGTAGTATTATAATACATTCCACAAGTGATAAAAACCTATTCATCTATATGAAAAGCCAATAAAATAGACTCTGAAATTAATGATTTACTCTATTTTTTAACATATAAATTAATAATTATTTTATACTAATCAAAGTTAATAATAAGGATCTATTTTGGTTTGAACTAAAAATGTGAATTTTCAAAATTGAAAGAGAAGCTTGTTTGACCTCACTAAATTTTTGTCAGTAACTTTTAGTTCTTTATACGTTAATTGACATTTTTTTATACATTAATGTTTAGCTTATGACTTTTATATTTACTTATTTTCCTTTTTAGTTTTAAACTAATTCTTAAATTTTCCTTTTAATATTGTGTATATAAGGAGTTTTTTTTTTCATTTTTCCACATGCAATTTTTTTATATAATAGTTTTTTATTACATAAGATATTAATCATATACAACAATTAGTTTCTTTTAATAATTTTGTTACATTATTTATTTTACTATTATATTGTTCATGATACTGTTTTACATAAGATCTATGATTTTACTGTTTCAACTTTAAATTTGAAATATATGGAAATTATCATACGGTAGTTTTTTTTAATATTGCACTATATTTTAACTATTATATTAATTCACAAAATGAAAATAAGATGCCTACTTAATATTTTCACTTTATTTTAAATTAGATAAAAAATATTAGTAAAATATAGCACAACAAATATAATATTTGAAAGTAAAATATGTAATTAAAATTATTGATTGCTAAATAAAAAACTACAAAATTGAAAATCAACTTGCTTATTTCTATAATTATATATTTATGAGCTACTTACTATAATAGATAATTTTACCATATACCCTTACTTACTTAACATATTTTAACAACCAACTAACACTTTTTCAATGATTAACTTTTATTTACAACCTATTAATATAGATGAATTTTCAAACTTGGAGGAATATAATTAATTATTTACCGGTATACAAAGATGCAAATCTTTCATTAATTTTTCTTTTCCTATCCTTAAGTTTTGTAAAATTTTATTTTTATATTTTAGTAAATTAAATTATTTTTAGATATACAAAAACTAAGAATTGAATTATAGAAAATCACTAAATTTGAAATAAAATAAGGACTCAAAAATTGTAATTTAATCAAATAGTTTATTTTAATTTAAAAAAGCAAAATATATCATGTAATGTCATGTAAATTTATGAAAGATTTTGACCCCTTCATTGTACTTATAGGCTTTTAGATAATGTTGTTAAAAAAAGGTATTATATACTATTTTAACCTTCTTAATTTTCTTCTTTTGGCCCCACAACTTTTCTCTAAGAGCTGCTATTTTCCCAAATCGGGAATCGAATCAAATTCAGAAACAAACTCTTCCGTGTCGTCCAAAACCATTACTTTGTCTATACAAAAAGAAATAAGTGATGCCACGTCAACTGATTATGATAACTCTAACACAAGATTATTCTCGGCCAAAAAAAAAAAAAAAATATATATATATATATATATATATATATATATATATTTACAGATAGGACAATAAAAAAAAGTATCCGCGAACGAATAAAACCCGTAATAGTTGATACTCAATATAATTAAACTATATGTAAAAAATAAAAATAAAAATTTATTAAATCTAACTTAAATTAAAACTAATTAATATTTTATAAAGTTAAATTTTATTAAAATTAAATTTTAATTTATATTATATTTTTATTTTAATTTTAATAATTTATAAAAATATATTTTTTAAAATATTTGAAAGTAGCGAGAGATTTTAAATTATTCACTAATATTTACAGGCAAGTACGGATGAATTTTTTTTCTTTTCCGATGAAGTTATCAGTAAACACTATTCATGTCTTATTCGATCCCAATCTCTAATTATATGTTTTAATTTGATTTGGTGTAACATTATTTTTAGAGAAACTAAAAATTCTTTGTTAGAATAAGGAACAAGAAACCTAAGAATTTGTTAGAGACAACAATCACAAAACTTGCCATTTACACTACCTTTAATGGTGAGTGATGCACGGATCACTGTATTATTGCTGCACTAGCTAGCATCTCCAAGAATGAACAATTTCAGAGATCATAATTCAAAAATAAATTTAAAACAACAGAATATGTAGTTACAAAGTGGATTGCACAAACCAAAAATGCTACCTGCAAAACAAATTTTATGCTTGTGAACCAAGCAATATGCACAAGATTAAGTGGAGGTTAGAAACTCATCACATGCCCTCTTGAAATGCATGAGCACGAGAAATAGCTGCAGGGTTAGCTTCCAAGATTTGAGACACACCCAAAACACGGTCTTTGCCTTCTCTAGGCTTTGCCCTTTTTGAAATAGTACCTTCTGGTACACATTCAGGGTTGGTTCCTGATGAGGCCAATTTTGAGGCCCCATTTGGATCATCAATTCTAAGGGTCGTTGGAACCAAGATACACATGTCTGATTTTTCTTCATCTGTTGAAAGATTGTCTCTTGTGTGTTTGCCAAGTGTTGGGGAGCCGTTGCCTGAGCAGCAGCTATTACTGGTAGAGGAAGTAGGTGAAAGGCAGGCATTGAAACCCATTGAAGCAGCTCCTGTTCCACCACCATACACAGGTGGTCCACTCCAGTATGATCCAGGAACAAATTGCAAGGGAAAGCTTGGTGGGCAAATTGTTGGAACTGCCATGATCGGTGTAGGACACCACTGCATTGAAGCAGGGTCGGCACTGTTATAAGGGTTACACATTTGTAGTGAAGAGGGGTGAAGTGATGCAGTGGAAGCAACATTGTTCCAATCTGGATTCCAAGGGAATATCCACGGAGGAACAGGATAACACTGCATAGGTTTTGATGCAGTTGGTTCAGTTGATTTGTTTCTTGGAGTGTAAGCATTGGTCATAGATGATGATCCACATAAGGATACTTCCTCCTCCCCTTTTTCTGCATAATTGACAGTATTTTCATCAGCACTTCGATTTTGTTCTTTAAGATTAAGCATTGACTCCATGGATTCACAAAGAGGAGGGGCATCCGGACAAAATTTCAACACAGTACCATTATCTGTTGAAGACCTGAAAACAGCAGCAGATTGAAGTGTTGTGGCAAGTTGGTGACAAGAAGAGTCACTTGTAGTTGGAATTCCGTCACAAGATACAATAATGTGCCGGTATTGAGAAGCTAGGTGCTTGTTCTTTCGTCTCCCCGCACCCACTGGAACATTTCTCATGGTTCCACCTGCAGTCCAGTACCTTTGGCAGTTCTTGCAGAAATACCGAGGTTGGTTCACATTGTAGTTATTGAAATAACAGAATTTGGTGTCTAAACTGTTGCATCGAGGACAATGCAGAATTTTGTCTGGTTTCTTGAAGATTTTATCTTGATCTGTACTGCTACTCTCTGTATTATTTTCCACTGTTTTGGAATTTACTTTTGACTCATTTTCCTGCCGATTATATAGGGTCTCTTGTTTGCTATCCGTTGAATCAGAATAATTCTCTAGTTGCTCAGAGTTTTCAGTACAGGGCATTTCAACTTCTTTTTTCTTTAAGCCATTGTAAGCATTCTGAAATTTAAGCTTTAATCAATGACAAGTTAAGCAGAACAATGTTGTGGGAAAATTAAGAATAGACGAGAAGCAAAATCAATACTTATTTCCTATGAAAAATATAAAATACCACACAAGAGGAACAACTGGAATTCAGCAATTTCTCAGTAATAGAAAATAGCAGTTTATCAAGGAATAGCATATTGGTTCATACATGAAACCATGTTCATCTCCTGTTTCTAATTTGTCTCAACTTCAACTTCAGTTTATCTCTCCCATCAAACTGTCATATTCATGAAAATGAATCATACTAGAACTGGTAACTTATAAACAGCTACAATTGCATAAATTTACTGAAAAATGACCACAAAGAGCACCTAGAAACTTTTGGACTAGATTGTTGCGAACTTTTGTTCTTCAAAAGGGAACCAGGTTTTTTTTTCATGCAAACTGCAGAAGTGCTGATAAGGAAAAATGAATAAGTAACTAAATGAAAGATTCTAGTACAATGAAGCCACATTAATCCAAAGAAAATATTAATCCCATATATCAACATTTTTGTCTAAAGATGGAAAGGAATTTATTCATGGATAATCAACGGCATTGCTCCAATAAAGCTGAAACAAGTTAACGTTATATTTCTTTCAGCAGTATGACCTGCTTTTAAAGAACAGAAAACCACCATAGAGATGTAGCAGAACCTATTTGAAATCTGAAACAAAACTACACTCTCATGACAACAAAAACCAAATGTTAGGCATATTTTTCTTTAAAAACTCAATTACTCACACAAGACAACTTCACCAACCTTGGTCAAAATTCACCAAACTCCTGTAGAAACGAGAAAACATAAGGACAAATTGTCAACCAAAAGTTTACTCAAAATGAACGATTGAGACCAGCCTTTGCTCCCATGAATCTGAACGTGCATCAGATACACATTCTCAAAATGTTAAAAGGGAAATTTCTTGGGAATAAATACTCTTTATATTTCACACTATTCTAAAGCTAGAAAATAAGTCTAGTAAGCAGTTATGGCATAGAAAAAGGAATGGTATTTTTTTAATGAAAACCCCACAAAATAAAATAGTATATGAGTCCAAGAAAAATGGCTTTTGGGCATCCTTCATGAGTAAGTACCATGGTTGCAGAGTTGGCCTGAATCTGATATCCCATCTGAGAACTGGCCGGAATCTGAGATTCCGGCAACGGAATCTTCCTGCCAAAGAGCCTAATACCCGGATCCTTATTAGACATGTCCCCTTCTGTATTAATTAATGGTACTGTTGTTGAATGGTTTTTTTTCCACAAGAACAGTATGAAGCTTCTGAGCAGCTCCAAGATACATAGATATAGATAGAACAGAGAAAGAAAGAGTGAGAGATAGAGAAAGAGAGAGAAAATAAGATGGTAAAAAAAGCAGCTTTTGTTTCCACGGAACTTTTCAAGGGTGAAACTTTGCACTAAAAAAAGCTACAAAACCCTCCGAGGGAAAAAGTAACCCTGCAAAAAGCACCAACAACATGAGGCATCAGAGACACAATACCGTCCCTTTAAACTTTCTTCTTTTTCCCTTTTGCTCTTTATATTTCTTCCTTATAAAAATCACTTTCTCTTAAATATACTTTTTCTTTCTTTTTTTCTCATTCTTTCTATAGATAAATAATTAATTTCAATTTTAATATATGATAAAATAATTGCAACCTTAATCATTAATTTTATTTTTTTTAAACTATCTTATTAATCAAACGAAAAACAACATATTAATATTAATTTTTTAATAAGCACGTGATAATTAGAGAGTATTAAATATTTACTCGATGAATTTAGGTTAAGAATAAGGATGGGCAAGAGGGTATAGTTCTATTATTCCATCCCATTCTAGCACTAAAAATTCATTCTAATTCTAAAATTGAGCATGTATACAATTTTTATCTCGTTGTCTCCGCTAAATAACGGATATATATTCATGTTTTTATATTTCTAACGGATATACTCATTTATATATATATATATATATATATATATATATATATATATATATATATATATTCTTTTTATCCTTCTAAATATAAATTAAATCATTTTTATAAAAAAAATCATAATATTATTAAAATATTCAATATTAAAACATAATTTATTTTTTCATGATGTAAAATATTAAGAAAAATGTTATAGTTGTATAAATTTAACTTTTTTTCTTTAAATTTTAATAAAATATCTTTCTATACTATGAAATTTTTATAATATAATATACAAATAACAAAATTAAACTAATAATAATTCTAATTTAAACATTGATCTTTAATCTTTTCGACTACATATGACATAATATGTTAGATTGATAAAAAATATTTATGGCAATTATTATAGTAAATGAAACATTTTTATATAATTGTGGTAGTAAAGTTTTTCTCATCAGAACAAATTATAATATATAGAATTATATAAAAATCATCTAAATAATATTTTATAGGATAAAAATAATCAACTGATTAAAATATTAAAAAGAAGTAAAAATTATTAAATGGTATGATTTGATAATGAATAATAATAAAAAATATACAATTAAAAATATGATACGTAGAAAAATATTTTAGATATATGAGAAAACTTACCCATTATCAAACTTAATTGAAAAATAACGAGAATTATTTAAACAAAACAAATGTGCTTCAAATTAATAAAGAAACTAAAAATTAAAGACAATAAAAAGAAATGATAAGTTCTTTTATGTCACTTGATGAATTCAGGATTTATTTCATTGAACAATTACAATTAAGAGTTAAAAATTCTCATATAACAAAACTAAATATTAAATAAAAATAATAAAAAAGAATAGAAATAATTTATGACCAGAAATTATTTAATTAAATAAAACTGAAAACATCCCTTTAGATATAACTACATACAAAAGAAAAAAAAGTGAGTAATCATTTAATTTATTCTCTCGTTTATACATATATGTTCGTTTATTTCTATAATAATTATTTACAAGTAATACCTTTTACCTTAATTTTAAAATCTGTGTTAATTTTCATTAATTCGTTTTCATTCTTAAGATTGGAATTCAGTTACAATTTCATTCTTAAAAAATCATTTTAAACAATTAAAAATATATATTTAAATTATTCTTGATTTTAATTTTTAAACTATGTGAAAAGATTAAATATAAGAAAAAAAAACAAGTATATTAAGGAAAGTGATATTATCAAATCCTTTGATAGATTTGTTCTTATGTATCTTTGCAATTTCATACTCTTCAGAAAAAACAAATGAGTGGCTTTTATTTGTAGGAAACAGTGCCGTCCTTTCCATTTTTTTTTATATTTTTTTTGGGAAAAATGTGATGAAGGGCGAAATTAAAACATTGGACCGTACAGAATATAATACCAAACCCCTCTTCTTATCACTTTCGAATTTTCGATTTATTTTAATATGATTAATGTCCAATCTGTGTTCATGAACCTCTCTTCCTTTATCACTTTCATGGAAGGTTCAATATAATAATTAATTTTAATATTTTAAAATATATTAAAAATACTTAATATATCAATATAAAAACTACTTATATATTTTAGTTTTAGTAAAATAAGTAAACTTATAGTTATACAATAACATTAAGTCTAGTAACTTTATTATTAATTAGTATAGCTAAACATATGTTTAATAGATATTATCACTTATTTATCAGACAGAAAACTAATGTTAATATACATTAATTATTGATATAATTAAATACGTATTTTATGATTAAAATCAATTACAAAAATTAATACTAATATATAACTAATCTTAAAAGAACTATTTAAAATTTAAAATTATAAATCATATGGTCATTTTTTATATTTTAATAATATATGGTGTTTAACTACCTTAATCGAAATTTAAATAAAATTAAAGTTTTTATATAAGTTTTATTTTATTAAAAATAAAATATATTGGATTAACTAATTATTCAAAATAGTTAAATATATTTTTTGTCTTCAAATTATTTTATATTTTATCTCTAAATCATATATATATTATTCTTATATTTTTAAAATCATATAAAAATCATATAAAATATGTGGAGTCACTATATAATTTTTCTATATATTTTTCTCAAATCATCTTACATTAATTTGGATCAACATAATTAAATTTTCTTAAGTTATTGGTACTTCAACACCAAACCGTACAGACGAATATATGTCAAAAGTAATATAATATTTAAATTAGTAATTAAGTAGATCAATTATCAATGTCTTAAATTCACAATAAATATCAATCACTTACTTCTTTATATATCTAGATTCATATTTATAAATTTCAAAATAAATTTATATTAACACAATTATAATCATAACTCAATATGTTTGACTTGTAAACTTAATTAGAAATTATATTAAGATTTTTCTAATGTTGAATTAATTATCTTATTCACCTTACTGATCATAACAACAAATTTTAAAATAGTTCACATGATCGTAAAAATCATATAGAATAATATACATATTATATAATATAATATATAATATTATATTATATATAATTTAAAACGAATACAAAAGTTTTAAAAATAATCTAAAAATGAAAAAACATATTAACTTTATTTAAAACATATATAAAAAAACCTTAAAATTCAGTAAAGAATGAGTATTTATTTTCTTTCTTGTTATAAGAACATGGTTTAGTTAGTTTGTTTCTCATTCTCAGAAATGACATTGTTAGAAAAGAAAAATTTTAGAGTGAGGGTAAATTAAAATAAAAAGTGTTAATTTTGAAAAGATAATGATAAAATGATTTATGAAAATTATTAAAGTGGTGAAAAGCTAGGGTGACGACACGTGGCACATGAGTGAACAGAGAGATGAATAAGAGCCAAGAGATGTAGTGGCTAAGGACGGAGATGAGATGACGTTAGACAGAAAGTGGGACCCACAGTGGAAAAAGGGCAAAAAGGTGATGCAGACTTCAACGACACCTCATTCAGCCTATTCTCTCTTTGCGCCGCCTTCAATTGCTGCTTATTCTTTTCAAACAAATACCTATTTTATTCTTTAATTATACAATTAATCAATAATTACACTTTTTTTTTCAAATCTTTATTATTTAAATGTTTTTCATACTTAATCATAATGATTTATTTTTTATTTTATTAATTTTTTAAAATATTAATATTAATATCACAGGATAAATATTAATTTTAATATGATAAATATTGATATATTTTATTTTTAATAGTAAAAAATTACAATTTTAATGTAATTAGTATTATTTTAATTATTTAATATAGTTATATATGCGCTTAACTTTTAATAATTATAACATGTATTTATTAAAAAAAATTAATATATAGTTAACTTAAAAAATCATTGACAATTTTAAATTTGTAATACAAAAGTAAAAAATAAAAAATTTCAAACGATTATCTAAAAGTTAATTTTATATTATATATATATATATATATAGATATATATATTATATTTCTAATATCTTAATATATTAATTTTAAATCTAATTTAATTTTACAAAACTAATATTTAAGATAAAACTTGCATATTTATATAGAATAAATATGTTTTATTTTTATTCAATATAAATTTCTAAACAAATTTTATTTAAAGTAGTTAATTAGGCTGTGCTATTTAAATTAAACATCGAAAAAAACTCAAACAGGGGGCCACTCGGGAGTCTACAAGACATACCGGAGGATAGCTCAGTCCTTGTTCTGGGTCGGGATGAAGAAGGATATTACAGAGTTTGTGGCTAAATGTCTTGTGTGTCAACAACACAAGTATTTAGCATCATCTCCGCAAGGATTACTACAGCCCTTGCCAATTCCAAATGCAGTTTGGGAAGAGCTTAGCATGGACTTCGTGGTACGGTTGCCTAAGTCCCATGGGTACGATGCTATCTTGGTGGTGGTGGACCGTTTGAGCAAGTATGCCCATTTCATACCGCTCAAACACCCTTATTCGGCAAGGACGGTGGCTGATATTTTCATGAGAGAAGTAGTAAGATTGCATGGGATCCCAAAATCCATCGTGACCGACAGGGACCCATTGTTCCTGAGCATGTTCTGGAATGAATTATTCAAAAGCCAGGGGACGCAGCTGAAAATGAGCACCGCATATCACCCAGAAACAGACGGGCAGACGGAGGTGGTGAACCATATTCTGGAAGGTTATCTCAGGTGTTTCTGTTCAGAGCAGCCTCGGGGTTGGATGACAGTGTTATGGGAGAGCACCTCCTTCTTTGCACAGATTCATTCCTGGTGAATCTCTAGTGGAGGCCGTGAATCAAGAACTTCAAACCAGAGACGAAGCTCTGAAACAGTTGAGGTTCCATTTGGAACGAGCGCAGTATATTATGGTGCAACAAGCTAATAAAAAGAGACGGGTCACGAATGTGGAAGTGGGGGATTGGGTGTATTTGAAGATACGACCCCATAGGCAGACTTCAATGCCAACTAGACTCCACCCAAAGCTGTCAGCAAGGTATTTTGGACCTTTCCGGGTGATTCAGAAGGTGGGGGAGACAACTTGCAAGTTGTAGTTGCCAGAGACAGCTCGAATCCATCC